GAAATAGCTGTACAGCCAGAGAAACAACCACCTGCCCAGGCCAGAGACCCCACCTGAGGCCCTGAGCAACACTTATGCGGGCCCCGAGGAGTGCCTGTGGGGGGCAGGGGGTATTGGGAGTTTGATGTTTCATAGTTAGTAACACCTCACACTCCCCTAGTGACACTACTGGTTATCATTGGATTAGATACCGGTATCAAGTGCATGTTGTGGTACCAGCATTGTGGCCTAGCAGAATCAGCCTGTGGTTTTGGGTGTTAGAACATATGTATTCAGTGGACTTCAGGACAGCAGCAGTAATTATAATACACAAAATACTCTAGTCCTGGTATTTTCAACTGTAGAAAGGTGCTTGTTTGGAATTTGGGAGGACGAAGGTTACCTATCTTCATTGCTCAAAATTTAAATAGCTTGTGCAATGTGTAATATCATCTTGTAGAACAGGTGGCAAGCAGTGATAAGCTATCAAATGTAGGACAGCATATCCAAATATTTTAGATCTCCATTTAGATACATTAAGCCAATTTTTATAATAACTCGGAATATTCATAAATACTGCAGATTCAGCACTGTCACCTCATTTCTTGCATTTACACAGAGACGATCCTTGTAACATATTTCTCAATGAGCCAGTGTAGTGTAGTGGTTTGAGTGTTGGACTACAACTCTGGAGACCAGGGTTCAACTCCCAGCTTGGCCATGAAAACCACTGGGTGACCTTGGGCAAGTCACACTCTCTCAGCCTTCAGGGAAGGCAATGGCAAGTCACCCCTGAACAAATCTTGCCAAGAAAACCTCATGATATGTGGGAAACAGCTTGAAGGTACATAACAACAAAGAATATTTCTGAGAAATAAAGTGCATACAAAGAGCTAAAAGGTGTAGTTATTTGAGAGTTGGACAACGACTTTGGGAGGACAGGATTCGGATCCTCATTCAGCCATGGAAACCCACGGGGAGACTATGGCCAGGTCACACTTTCTTCACCTCAGAGGAGAGCAATGGCAAACCCTCTAAACAAATCTTGCCAAGAAAACCCTGCAATAGGTTAACCTTAGGATCACCATAAGTGCGAAATGACATTAAGACACACATCAACAAAGGGCACAGAAGACAAGGTAAATATTGCAAAATACAATTGCAACAGCGAGATAAATTGTGCAAATATGTGCACAAATGAGGTAGAATGGTTTTGTGTTTTTTTAATGGTGTGAATTTCAGTGCAAGGAAAACAGAGTCTCTCAAACCAATAGGAAACAGGGATGGGAAGGAAGTGCTGATGGGATTGGGAGGGGGGATCAAGATTGAGAGATTTTTCACATCACTGAACAAAAATAATGATCATGGAAGTCTTGCATAAATTCAACCTAGATGATGAGGAAATTAAAATAGTTAAAGATTTCCCCCTACCTTGGATCATCCATTGACCAGAACCAAGATTGCAGCCAAGAAACTAGAAGAAGACTAGGACTGGGGAGGGCCGGTATGAAAGAATTAGATAAGGTCCTAAAGTGCAAAGCCATAAAACTGAACAGTGGGAGAGGAAAATAAAAAAGAGCCAAGTAATAATTTGGGATGCAAATCTTCCATTATTTCATCTATGCACATGAGGATGAATCATTCCCATAGTATTCTCTCCACTGTAAGAGGAAATGAATATTTTTGCCCAGTATTCTCAGATTCCAAAGGCTTCCATGAACTATTCTCTGGACAAATTCACTTTTTTGTACCAAAAACCACCCCATTGTCGCCAGAAACACATATTTTTGTGCAAAATGTTAGCTTTTTATGCAAAAGACATGATCTTTTAAAAAAGTAAAAACATGGACATTTCTTGAAAGGTGCTTATACTATTTGGTTAGTTAGTTATTGTTGTTGCACAGAAAAATGTGTCTTTCCTTACAAAATAGTTTTTCAAGCACTTCAGGATATGTGCATACCAGGCAAAAAATGTGCAAAAGTCTTGCTTCTGTGTTATTCTTCCCAAATAATTTGTTTGCTGAGAAATGAATAACACAAAATATTTCCCACTGTTCCTAATATTGATAAGCTACATGGTTACATTTTCTGGGGACATAAGATGTCTTTATTCCCTGCACACAACAAATTGTAATGGCCTCTTTTACCTGAGCATTGGGTTCATAAATAGACTCAGTGTCTCTCCTCTTTCTGATGGATTCCAATCTCCCTGTTTTGAACTATTCAAAATGGACTCTAGGAGACAAAGTGTCCAGCTCTTCCATCAATTATCTCAGCTATCTGAGGTAACTGCTCAGTCATCTACATGAAGACCCACTTTCAGTTCACCCAGTAAGCATTTCCATTGGTTTTACTTTAAGCTAGTGAGCCAGAAAGCTCCTAATGATTCTGGATGTCCTGCAACAAGTGACTGATGCTCTTCTCTGGATGCACCCAAGCAGCTCATGTTCAAGGAGTATAAATCAAATCCTGAGGCACAGGATGCTTGGATCAGCATCTTGCCACCTAATTAAAATTGAGCATATTAAATAAAGGGAAATGGGAATGGTTCCATTCTTAAACCAATGGTTTGAGCAGTAAGGTCATTTTTACACAGGTTGGTAAATCTTCACATACTTTATGGTGACACATTTATAATAGGATCGGGGTCATTATCAAAAATGGAATATTATCCATCCTTCACTTTTAATTATTAATAAAGAAAATTATCTGCTGTATGGTTTGCAATATCCTTCTCTATAAGCTTTGCAGCTAAGGTGCCCTTTGATGATTTCTCCTTATATAGTATGGTGATGGGTATAATTTCACAGTGTGCTATGGTGGCAGCTCATGCGAGTTCTATTGAACGTACAAAGCTGCCTTATCAGATCAAAGTGAATAACTGACCCATTTCATCCATGATTGTATTCTGTGACTCATAACAACTAGACTTGGGTGACAATTTCCTTTTGATAAGGAACATTTTCTCCCAACATTTTCAGATACTTTAATAAATTAATAGGAAAGCACTTGAAGTTTCTTTTTTATTTTAAAATATTACAGAAGTAACCAAAACCTATTCCCCTATCCAGGTTAGAGGGGTTTCAATACTTTTGTTTCACTTTCTTTCTTTATTCCACCACATTGGAGGTACAGATCTAGCTTTGCCACCTCTATTTTCTACCGGGTATATGGAAGGCAGGCATGGCATGTCTGCACCTATCAGCTTGGCTGGTGCCAATGGTTGAAAATTTTGGAAATACCATCTTATATTTGACAGAAATAACTGAAGTTGTACAAAAAATGGATGTGGCAGGAAAGGAAAATTGATGAATTTGTCCATCCCTAAATGTACCCTTCTGAGTGTATACTGAAATAAATTGAAACAAAAATCCATCAGTGATACCTTTATTGGCCAATCAAAATGTGCAATATACTGGTTGCAAGCTTTCAAAGTTCAATGGGCTGCTTCTTCAGGTAAAATGTTACAAACCAAACAGGAGAAAAACAATTGGAGATGTTAATCAGATGCCTACATGTTGTTTCAGTCTGTAGTTAAGATGGTATATGGTGGGAGGATATGTCTCCAGGCCTCATTGTGTCAGAGAATGATGGATTCCTCAAGAAGTTTCCATGTTTTTGCATCAGGAATATTTTGGTGGATGTAGAGGTAAAACATGTGAATTCAGTCCAAATTTAAGAAGAAGAAAAATGTTTTACCTTGGTTAAAGTTCCCAGTCCACAGACTATTCTTCCTGGTTCCCCTGTTGAAATAAATTGAGTAATCCTAAAGTTGTCATACAACTTCCTTTCCCTTTCCCTGACTTTAAGAGCCTCAAATAGATTTTCCCACCCTCCAGCATTTCCCAGTTGAGATACAGATACTAGAGAATGAGCCTTTTAGTGAAATTAGGAGAGGTTGCACAGCTGCAGTGCTTGAAGCCTTGAGATTCATCTGAGGGACTTTGAAAAGTTCATCATGATAAATGGTTCTTTTGTCACATCATGTCATAGAATTTTATGCTCAATAAAACCCATGATGTCTGTTATGAGTCACACTATTAGCCCTATGTTGATGTTTAGAATGGGGGGTGAGTTGCTTTTAGTTTGATTTTATCAGCTTGGTGACCACAGTGGTATGGCAATCTCTTGTAGCAAGCCAACTATAGTTTAAGTTGCTGTACTGAAAGTTTTACACACTTCCATTTATTTGACAAATTGTTTAACCAGGTTGAACAAAAGACAGCAGTCTGTCACCCTGGGACACTGTGCTAGTCTCTAAAATAGTGTTATTTCCCCTTGCAAGCAAGTAGTTACACCTGGAGTTTTCTTCATATCCAGCTGAAAAAAATTAGCAAGCTCATCCTTCCAGCTACTAGAGTGGTTATGTTCCAACATGAAACTAATGAGTGGGTGTACTGCTAGTAGCCACCAGCCATCAGAAACCATTAAAGAAACAATCCTAGCAATTAGCTAAACAAGAGACAATCTCCTCACTCCATGCATATTGAGAAGTCATGTAACTCTCTCAAATTGTAGTATTAGTTTTAAATATTTTCCAACAGCTAGCAGGCAAGGAGAGTCAGTCCTCTGGGTAATTGACCTGAAAGAATTCAGGAGGAAATTATTCTACTAGGAGATCCATTTGCACCTGAGTAGAATGGTCAATGCACAGTTTTATAAGAACTGCTATGACTGTGTTGGTTATTCACGTGGCCTGATTACAGATAGACTCAAAGCTGGAGTACCAAACACTGGCTATCTGGAATGGATGATTCTACAATGCACCACAGATCAAACTAACTGAACCCACAGCTTCCACCCTATCATGGAACTGAAGTAACATTACTGAATCCAGAGTCACCAGTTTGAGACCTCCCCATCCTCTTTGTGTAGCTGGGCCCACAAATATCATGCATGCAGTTCTTCTGGTAATAGTTTTCTTCGCTACTAAGGAAAAAAATTAGGGGGGGATATATTTTTGGATTACAGCTCCCAGAATCCACTGGTCAATAATGATAATCCTCCCAAACTCTGCTAGACAATCAAAGTCTGGATGCTAAAAATACAATGGGTGTTCTTGAAAAATCAAGGCAAATGGAGTCAAAAAAGGAAGCAAATAATATCTGGTAACACACAAAATCACACACAAAAACATTAGTATGTTGTATTTAGTGAGATTGTAGTTTAGAGGAAAGAGAGCAGATTTCAGTGTGACTGCAACTTGAACTTTCCTTCTGTTAACTTGGTAATAACCATATCCCAAGCTAATAAATGCCAAGGTCTGGATTTTTGCCTCATAAACTCTTCAATGACCCTAGACATGAAAGACTCTCAATCACTTTAACAGTAAATTTATAGGAACAAATGTATATCAACATCTCCCTGGTTTTATCCCACTCCATTAAGCCACTGCAAGCAGGAAGTCATAGTTTATGATAAATGCCACAAAACTTAGCAAATCAGAGACTTCTCTGATATTTTGCCTTTTGCCCTGTCAACAATACTTTGAACTAGGACTTTAGCAGATCTAGAATTACCTGCAAGCATCATTACATCTCCATCCTCTACACACCTGGGCCTATATTATCTTGATGTTCTGCTTTGGAGCATTTTATGAACACTCCATCCCACCTAACATATATTTCCCAGCTGTCTCCTGATGTATAAACCCTTCCATTCTCCACCTGGTTCAGTGAACTTTGGTTTTGACAGTATTTGGAAAACTCTAACTTCCAGAAT